TTGTTTTTTCTTGTCCGCTGTATTTGGACAGTACAAAACTCAAGAGTTGGAAAAATTTTACTCAATATTACCTATACATATGAATATATAAATATGAAATGATTCCAATAAAGTTGTAAGTCAAACAAATCGAATATGTAGAGCATGCCACCCCCATTCCCACAGTCCATAGGGGGAACATTTGAGGATAGTTATGCATGTCTAAAACAACAACAAAAAAGCCTTATCCCACTAAGTTATGCATGTCTAGTCAAACAAAAAAGGAAATGAGAAAAATTATAAAAGAAAAAACACAAAAGCAACCTCAAAATTAGAAGACACGGTTAGGGATGATGACGGCTGGCTATTTTTAGAAACTTCAGAATCTGAGATATTGCCCGAAGACTTTGCAGCTGTCCTACATTATCAATACAAACAACTTTTAGTACATTGGCATAGCTAAGAGACCAAAATGTGAAAGCGTGCAAAAATGAGAGATCTACAGGAGCAATGATGACTGAAAGGCCAACTTTATAGAAAAAAATCAAATTTATGGCTAACCGAAAACTTAATAACTTAGCAGTTATTAACGACTATGCAAACTTTGAAATAGCATGTGTGAAAGATGTTAAGGAGGTACATGCCTTTCATTCCCAAGATTAAGTATCGGATACAAAGGACCAGCAAGCATAGCAAGAAAGCGTAAGTTAGATTCAGCAGAATCCACAAAACTGCTAAGGTCTGCCTGCACAATTTGGAAAAAAAAAATATTGCATTAAAAAAGGCCATCAATGCAATAGAAAAAAGAGAAGGAAAAAAATAGAAGATAAGGGGAAAAACAGTAAGAAAAATAGGGACAAACGCAGAAGGAAAAGAAAATATATACTAATTTGAGACAAACGTGTATATACCTCAAGTTGGGGAAGGAACACAACCAACCGACTTGTCATGTCTTTAAGCAACTACAAACTAGTGGGCATCAGAAGACAGAAAGATTTGAAAATACAAGAACATGGTAGACAGTAAGCATTATAGATAGCACAGTGGGATCCACCTGAAGATGCATATCCTGAGCATCTTGTTTGTGAGATGTAATAGATGGCAACAGGTGGTTAACCACAGGTTGAAACTCTGGCTCCAGGCCAACCACTGAAACCCCAATAAGCTGAAAAGGTAGAAATATTAGAATTTTCAGTGCCAAAAAGTCTGAGGCAAGATGTGATTGATAATCAAATTATGGGATCGTTTTAGGCAGGAAATAAATCCACAAATATATATATATATATATATATATATTCAAAACCGTGGAAAAGATAGGACTTTTAAGAGATCAAGGTGAGATCTCTCCATGTACAAAGCCTTTTTATTAAAAGAAGACACATACTTTACTAAAGAATCATGTTGAATCACAATAGCATTGAACAAAAACAACAAAGAAGCCTTATCCCACTAAGTGGGGTCGGCTGCACAATAGCATTGAACAAAAACAACAAGAAGAACAATAACAAAGAAGCCTTATCCCACTAAGTGGGGTCGGCTGCACAATAGCATTGAACAAGGAGTCAAATTTTAAAAAGAAACTAACCGCGAGAGAAATTCTCTATGTTCTGAGTAAGCAAGCAGAAGAAATTTATGTGCAGGAGCTATAGAATTTTGATGTATTATTGTCTAGAACCATATGACCCTTGGTCTTATGGGTGAAAAGTGGTCGGTACCAAGGTTGGGTATGGACATTATTTTGTAGAAGAGGGAGGTGTTGTGGCATTGGGGGCAATAACTCAGAGCTTGATAAAATGAAATTTATCGCAAAACAAATCCATCGGGATATTAATCTTCTAAGGGAGATTTAACCAATAGTGTAGCAGAAATAATTCCCATATCATACCTGTATGAAGAAAATAGATATAGGATTTCCCCGCAAACAAGAAATTCGCACGTAGCGGCAGGGAGTATAGTTCATTGGATATATCATGTCGCGTCGCGGTGCTTCACAACGTGGGCGAACTTTTACAAACGCCTCTGGCTGTTCAAAAATGAAACAGAATAAGAGCGACAGAAGCGAACAACTTGGCACCGAATGCACCAAAAACATGCTAACTGATTATGAATGCTCTATCAGTAGTTCCCACTTCCCAGTATTCCTAAATCATATCAATCAAAAGATGCGATGTTCATGTGCAATTGCTCACTGCTTACATTAGACATCACATAGCTAAAGCGGATATCAATGAAACAAAATTTGAGCCCCAAAAAATGCCACAGGTCAAATTAGACAAGGAAGTGAACTTTCCCATGCCACAAAACCAAAAAACCAAAAACAAACCAAGCAGCACACTGACCTTGTAGCGTAAGCCAACAGAAATCTCCCATTCCAGCACAGACTTGTTGTAAATTCGTATGTGCGATAGCAAGCAAGGTTCCTACCAAAACCCAGAATACAAAACTTAAACTAAATCAAAATTAACTTAAACTAAATCAAAATCAAGTGAACAAAAAAACATATTAAATAATTTAAATTAGGGTTAGGGTTAGAATTGAAAGGGAGGGAGAAGGAGAGGAGGTACGTTGAGTTCGAGAAGAATCCACTCCTTGGTATTGGTGGCGGTGGACCAGTGGGAGCGGAGGTCGGCGTCGAGCACGTGACCGGCCTTCTGGGACGGCGACTCGCGTGACATTGCCTTGACTTTGTATTCCAGAGGTTTCACCCTCGGCTCCAACTCTATCTCCATCTTCTCTTTTTCCTGTCTTTCGAGCTTTCCAGTGAAGAGGGGCTGCTGAGACTGACTGACAGCGGAGAGAAGAAGAAGAAGAAGAAGAATATTGTTATTCAGTACAATTGTGTGGTTGCGGAAGCGCCGGCGGCTGAGGCTGCGGCTGGTCGTCGTCTCCGTGAAGGACAAATGGTTATACTGAGGTGGTGTTTGATTCTTTTGTCCTGATTTCTCTTTTTTTATTATTTTTTAATATAATTTCTCTAATCAACGCCAAAGAGCGAAGAAGGGCGAAGAGATGGCACATTTCTTTCAACGTTGTGACGAATACCATTAAAGCATAATGCCTTGACAAACCGATTTTACTTCTCACACTTCTTTTAATTTTCAATCATCGGATCGAAAGAATATAAGAACATCAATTAACAAAAATTATCAAGGGTATATAAAATGTAAAAATGTGTATATGAATAGCATTACCCTTTTGAAAAGAAAAAAAATTATGAAAAATAAGTCCATATCTAGAGTTGGTTAACCTTTGGTTGTTTTTCTTGTCTTAAATTTAAACCAATGATGATTAACTGTTAAGTGGTACTTCTTTTCAAATGTTGGAATAGAGAAATGATTATGACTAGATAAATCATTATGGTTCACACACACTTTGTTTTTTGCTCTCTTCTGCGGAGTAGGGTTATTTACTTTTATCTTTCTGTAGTTGTAATAACTTGTAAGTTTTGTTAGTTGAACTTTTCCTTGCAGGATAATCGTAAGTTTTTTTAATAAATTGAACTCGTTGGTTCTTATTGTCACACATAAATCTTTAAGGCTTAGTTGTAACAGTGATCCCTAAACGTTACCCCTAGTTTAATTTTAGTCCCTCAACTCTTATACTAGTTTTTTCTAGTCTTCGAACTTAATAATGTGTTATATTATTGGTTATTTTCACTAATGCCGTCTATTTTTCCATTAAATTTAGGGCTATATTATGAACTTCATCTCACATCATTAAAAATGAGAAAGGAAATGGACCGTCAAAAAAAATTTCTTTTTTATTTTTGTGTATGAAAATTCATAGGATTTTTTTTTCGAAGTTCATTATGTGATTTGTTAGTTGCTTAAGTCTAGCCACAGTTTGTTCTCCTACCAACTTTGAAATCACATTGCCTAATATTTACAAGTTGTTAAAGTCCAACCATTTTCATTTTGTATTTTTATAGTTCAAAATGCACTTTGTTTTAAGTTTTAGATATTAGTTTATAAATTTTCATTTGTTTTTTTGCTTCTTTTATTGTTTTTAATTTTTAAATTGTAGTTCCTAATATACCCTAGATTTAACGGGAAAAAAGACGTTAGTACAAATGATCAATGGTACAACACAATGTTAAGTTCGAGGATTAAAGAAACTAATATGAGAGTTCATTGACTAAAATTAAACAAGGGGTAAAGTTCATGAACCATTAGTACAAATAAGCCAATTTTTAATTATCACATTGGCTCTATCACCTCTTTAGTGATGCACATCTCTACACTTAGTTTGATGGCTATTCGGTCGGTATACTTCACGTTTCACCACATAATTAGACTTGTAGAACCTTATGTGTGCCACATCAACAAATAATTGAAAATTTGACGAAATACAACTAAATCTTGCCATTTTGCTTCTTGGTATTATTCCTCCAAGTGTTCAATGCAGTGGCTCATCGGATACCACCATTTGAACTTCGAAACCGGGCTTTTCGTCTTGGATGGCAGATGTGAGTATCATACATTGGAGATCAAATTCTTGCATCAAAATACTTAAAAATCTTGAGTCCAACGATCCAAGTCGATACGATAAGCTTCCTTTTATAAATTCAAAAGGGAAGGAGTAATTCAGCCATAAGATCCTTTATAAATCATTTTAGAATGTCTTGCTGTCCTTAACCAATAAAACAGAGGAGTTTAAGATCCCTAAGCAAATTTGGAAGACAGGTATTAAGTCATTGCATGACGGCGTGAGTTCGAACTCATCAGTGGTTAATTTAACACATAATCTAACAAAATATATCGTTTGACAAAATATATCAGTAAATGTTCTTGTCGGGGAATTTCAACACGGTCTAAGAAAAAACTCCCTGAGCAAAAGTCAAAGACTTTTTGAGCAAAAATCATATTAAATTAACTAATAAATATCCCAGGCTCCCAGTCCAGTCCCAGCAATAATATGCTTGCAAGTTTGAACTACTAACCACCATCTACATATAATATAAACTCCTCAAAACAAGGCTCAACAAATCAATATCTTAACGCACAAGCAATTTTCACCCACCAGCACGTAACAAATATCCAAACAACCCTTCCTTTCACAGAAATATTACTGCCTTATCTGATTCTTTACATGTGTGTGTGTATATATATATATATATAGATTGTAGAGAGAGAAACTGATGCATAAAAAAGAGGGCAACAACAAACACCACCAGCATGTACAAACATAGCAGTTGCCGAATATAGTTACACCACCATAACAAAACATCAATCCAATCCTAACCCAGAACAAAACCTACCTCTAAAACCCCTTCTTTCTCCCTCAAACCCCACAAACCCATTTTGTTTTTTCTACATCCTATGCGGATTTGGTTTCTGATTCAAAGAACAATTTGAATTAGAAATCAAAGATTTCGGGGCCCGAGAAAGAATGGTTGGGCAATCGAGAAAATGGATGATACTCGTGGCGGCGACATGGATACAGGCGTTCACAGGAACGAACTTTGATTTCGCGTCCTATTCATCTGACCTGAAATCTGTGCTGGGGATTTCTCAGGTGCAGCTCAACTATCTATCGGTGGCCTCGGATATGGGGAAGGCATTGGGTTGGTGTTCTGGGGTTTCTCTCATGTATTTTCCCTTGTGGGTTGTTATGTTCATGGCTGCCTTCATGGGTTTGTTTGGTTATGGCCTCCAATGGTTTGTCATTCAAAGACTCATCTCTCTGCCTTATGTTATGGTTAGTCACTTCTCATCTTTCTTTCTTTTAATTCTTATATCGAAATTATGTGATTCTCGCATTCTCATTTTCTTTCTTTAAATCAACGAAGAATCTATGAACAAAAACATAAAAACGAGTTCAAGAAGAGAAAACGAGAGTGAAAATCGCTACCCTTGTTTAATTTTTCATTTCTAATTTTGTTGGAGTGGGTTTTCTTTTTCTTGTTTTTCTTTTCTTGTTTAGTTGTTGTATTTTCTTGGCAAAGTCAAGGGGAAGTTTGGCCTAAAATTGGTGAACTTCTAACCTCCACGGCTCCACACAATAACCACAACAACCACAAAAGCATCAGGTTGATGTGTAAGTTAGGACTCCATCTACCACTTTCCAAAAGAAAAATCCAAACCATTTAATGTTGCATAAACTAGAAACCCTAAACCCCAAAAAAAAACTAGAAACCGGGAGATGATGAATTTTTTCCCCCTCTTTTTTGTTTTGGTTTTGTTTCGGCACAGAGAAAAGAAAAAAAATACCGTCAAAATAAAATTTGTAGGTCATCTAGTACTTTGATTTAGTGGTATTTTTCGTTATTTAAAAGTGAGAAGTTCTAAGTTTAATTCCCGTTAATCGCGTGTATGACACCACATTATTCTTGCTGGTGCATTGTGTAGCTATGCCAAAATTCCCGTCCCTTGGTAATTATATAATCGTAATTCAAAAAACGAAAATAAAAAAGTCGTGGACCTAAATATATCAGTTCTCAAAAGCACAAAATTAATGTTATAGTAAGGCTAATATTATATTAACACCAGAAACTTACAAGTCAGTGACAAAGATCCAAAAATAGACAGAAAAAAGGATAATGTTAGAGTAAATCCATTTTCTTTTCCCGAGATTTATAATTTGATATCAAATATCCCCTTCGTTTATGAGGTCATGGGAGTCATCCATCTTTACCTAGACAATACTCAGCTCTGTAAAAAAACAAAAAAAATTTACTGTGGTAAAAAATAAAAAACAGAATAAAAAAATGATCATACACTAAATTAACCTTTCATAAATCAACTATTTGTTTTGTTAAACTTAGGAAGGTTTGTTTATGTTTCTTTTCTAAATAACCAGTCACGAAGTATTAGTACATGACGTCAGGTGCAAGAATAAACGCTCTTAACCTTCCATAAATCAACTTCTTACTCTGATAAACTAAGGTAGGTTGGTTTGTGTTTTTTATGTTTCTAAAGAACCAATATTGATTTGAATAGTACACATGGCTTCAAATGCAAGAATGAACGCTCTTAACTACTTATGCTGCAAATCTCTAGCAAGGTTTATTTCTTTGAATAAATAAGACAAAAAGCTTCAAAGAATTAAGAATAAGGACACAATACATGTTTAGGCCAAGTGATCATCACTTCATAAGAACCTATTAATGAAAAAGTAGCAAAAAACAATTGAGAACAAAATAAAAACCAAAGGAAGATTGAGGATCAAAAAACAACTAACCAGATGATTAATGTTAAGTATTTTGGCTTGGCAGGTATTCCTTCTATGCTTGTTGGCTGGATGCAGCATCTGCTGGTTCAACACAGTCTGCTATGTTCTATGCATCAGACACTTCCAAGCCAACCGGGCACTTGCGTTGTCTCTCACAGTCAGTTTCAATGGGGTAAGTGCCGCCCTCTACACCCTCATTGCCAATGCAATAAACCCGAGCGACGATACCATCTACCTCTTCCTTAATGCTCTAGTTCCTCTCTTCACATCCGGCTTAGCACTCATCCCTGTGCTCCGTCAGGCCCCAGTTCAATCACTTCCTGCTGAGGCCACTCGTCGTGACTCCATGATTTTTCTTTTCCTAAACATCCTAGCTGTGGTCACAGGCATATATCTCCTCCTCCTTAACTCACTATCCTCTGATGTGTCAAAAGCTCGGACACTCTTAGTTGGTGCGATTTGTCTCCTAACCCTACCTCTGTGTCTGCCTGGCATGGCATACGCACGTGAGTGGGCTCGTAGGAACTTCCCCTCAAGCCTACGTTCTGAAAACTCATCAACCTTCAATCTGGTTGACACTGATGATTTTGAGCTTCATAAGGAACTCATTGATGTAAGTGAAAATGCTAATGCCACGAAGGCCACAAATGCCACAAATTCCACGAACTCCAATTCATATGGGCTGGTAGACAAGGAACGCTTTTTTGGGTGTTTTGCGTGTTTTGGGAAGGTGATGGAGAAGGATAGGTTGACAGTGCTAGGTGAAGAGCACTCAGCTAGGCTGCTTGTACGTCGATGGGATTTTTGGCTATACTATGCTGCATACTTTTGTGGGGGAACTATTGGGTTGGTCTACAGCAACAATCTTGGCCAGATTTCACAATCACTTGGATACAGTTCCCTGACTAGTTCTCTTGTCACACTATATTCTTCATGCTCCTTCTTCGGCCGTTTGCTCTCAGCTTCACCAGATTTCCTGCGTGAGTATGTATCTAAAAAACTAATGCTTTTATCAATTGGAGAATGAGAAAAAAAACCTGATGCAATAAAAACTAACCTGCGTCTTGCTAATGCAGCAAGGTTTATTTTGCGAGGACTGGATGGCTACTAGTTGCTCTGGTGCCAACACCAATTGCCTTCATTCTGCTTGCCACATCAGGCAGTGAGGCAATGCTGCGTGCTGGAACAGGCTTGATTGGGATAAGCTCCGGCTTTGTGTTCTCTGCAGCTGTGTCAGTTACATCAGAGCTTTTCGGCCCAAACAGCGCTGGCGTAAACCACAACATCCTCATCACCAACATCCCAATTGGCTCACTCCTATACGGCCTTCTTGCAGCTTTGGTGTATGATTCCAATGACGGAAGCTCAACAACCTCAGTGAGCTTGTTAAAGGAAGCAACATTGTGCATGGGAAGCTCATGCTATAGGCAGACATTCATATGGTGGGGCTGTATTTCAATAGTAGGGTTAGCTCAAGCTTATTACTATTCCTACGAACAAGGACTGCTTATAATCGGTTTGAGAGGAATAGGACTAAGACGCAAGTCACACAATCCTCCTTACAAACCTCCTCTTAGCTTCGAATTCGCCTGTTTTTATAAATGGTAAGTTCTGGAAAAGCTAATAGATGTGTGGCATTTCATATCATGTTAACTTCGGGAAGAGCTTAAAGATGTGTAGGATTTCAAAGAGAGTCAAGGATACGAAAACATAGATGTAAGCAATGAGTATATGCTTGTTACTCAGACTGGGAAGATAAAGAGATTGCCTGTAACATAGTAGAAGGTAAGATGTCAGGAAGAACGTTAGAAATTTTTGTAGATGGGTTCTAACCATCTTTCACCCTTCTGTTTTTGTTGTGTCCTTTTTTTCTTTATGTATTCTTTCACACATGCTTCAAAGTACAAATTACAGTTGCATATAAACAACAAAAACATAACTGTAAGAACCAGGTTATTTTTGTCCAGGTCGAATTCATCATCTATCCTAATCCCAAATTCTAATCATTTTTCCTATCCCCTCACTGCTTGAGCTAGCCCCAAACCTTATAAACCGGTTTTACGCCATAAACTACTGCGATTTACAGGAGTTCAACTACTGTTCAACAGATTGAGATTTTCTTTTTCTTTTTAACATCCTACTCAATATATTTAACCAGGGTTTGAAAGTCTAAGCATTCTTGTCTACTGTTGGCTGGAGAAACAATCAAATAGCTAATCAGCGGTAACAGCTCTCTTTTTTTTTTTTTCCCAGTAACTGCTCAACTTCTGAGAGAAAAAGAAATGAAATAACAGAATGAAAAGATACAATCTTAAATCAAATGACGGAACTACAGAGTCTCCTAAATTATTAAACATACGTAAGGACTAAACAAAGACAACTTAGAGGTTTAATAAATCGGTGTCATCCTCTTTCAGTTACGTCAGATTCAAGAATCCCTTGGGGACAACGTAGTCCTTCAAACCAAGCATTGTAATAGTCACAGAAAATCTCCCAACTCATCAGAAATAGACAGTATTGCCACAGTTGTGGATTATGTGATCTTCAGAATTCATTCCTCAGGTTTTTTGATGCATTTTGAGACATCAGATCAGTTGAACGGTATGAACTTGTTAAAGTGGACAGTTATCGAAACCTACTTTACTAAATAACATTCTTTCAAACGTCTCCAAATGTGCATAAAATAGATTCTTATATATAAAATATCATGTCAGATTACACCATAAGGCCTAGACTGGAACAACATAAGGGACTCAATAGTATACAGATCTAGCATCCTTAACAGGATCTGCTGGAGTTCCACAAATTCAAATTATATTCGCTCCTGACAATAATGTACTCGGGAAACTGAGAGCATTGATGAAAGAGGCAGGGAATATCGAATATACTAATCAATAATAATTGGTGCATCTACAGTATCACCCTTGAGATTGCCTAGAAGTTCAGATGGGATGTCACCTCTGAGAATTTGGACTCTGAATGCCAGTTTTGTGCTGCTGCACTCCAGAAGTTCAAATACACATGCATCTCCAACCTTCAAATTGTTGTCGTTGACAAATTCTCTCCAGTTAATATCGAACTTTCTCTGAATGGATCCACCAGTGTATGTCATCTCCCAGTTTTTGCCCCCAAACGTGAGAACCGTAGGAATTGAACAGGAAGGTAGTGTTGGTTGAAATTTGGCCGGGATCACCTATTCCAACAAATTAGCATATGAGTACTGCACACTTTTATGGATTTAAAGCGGTATTGATGCAAAGACAGAAAGAAAAAAAAGTTCCAGCAGCAACCAAATTATCTTTAATTGCGCTGGTTCAACAAATTGTTACTCCATTGCAATGGCCTATTGACAATAATGTTAATGTGGACCGTAGCAACAGTTAAGAAGTTGACATAGTCGGATACCCTCACCACCTTTTAATCATGGGAAGATAAGATACTTACCATTTGATAAGAGGGCTTGACATTTGCTTTTCTGATGATGACTTCAAAAAAGGGTTTCTTCGAGAGTGGCCAAAACTCATCCCCTTGCAATTCAATCGTGGGATTTGATGTGGGTTGGTGACGTTGGTCTCCCATTTGAGGATCTTCTACTTTAGCAACTGGAACTTAACAAAAAGGAAATTATCAACGAAACAGATCATGCTCTTAATGAAAAGATACCTAACAGCGCAAAACACAAGAAAACATCTTGCAACGAAAACTAAGTCAGAAATTTTGAAGGTTATGACAAGTTGCTAACAGCTTCAAAAATAACTTCACAAAACATGCATTGGCGCAGGAAACATAAATTATATTGCAAATGATAAGCAAAAGGAGAACTTTTTTACCTAGTAGGTAAAATAAAGCTGTTCAGAAGTATCCGAAAGGGTGAAAGTGAGACACAAGGAAACCAGTTACAAAACATACGATGAACTAAGGAGACTGATATAAAGTTTGCCAATAGACTAAAAACTTCAGGATTATATGAAGAAGTATTCCGAACAGCGAGTAGCCAAACTAGAATATATACGTGTTTAAAAGAAAGTATTTTGATAATATTATTGTCAACCAACTTCTGCACCTGAAGCCCCCAAATCCCAGGGGTGTGGAACGGAAGTAAATTGTACGGAATGCTGGCCATGAATCACCAGAGTCATCTAAAGCTTGTCTGTAAACTCCAAAAACATGAGGAGAATAGATTGAAAATATTCAGACTGACCAGTGATCACAAGTGAAGCTAAAAACATATGAATATCAAGAATTATTTTAACCTCAACCACATACATATCCACATCCGCAACCATATAGAAAAAATGCGGAGGTATTAGTCCATCGGAGAACAACCATGGATCGCCATCAGAAGCCAGTGATTGAGGAGCATTCATAATCTGAAGTTGATGAGCGAAACAATAAAGAAAAATAACCTTGCCGCAAGCAATGGCCATTGAAGTTGATGAGCGAAACAATGAAGAAAAATGGTGAACAGGTTTTCTTCAAATATGAGATTTTAAGACCATTTTGAGCTCCAACATAACGTTGCCCACAAATGGAAAATATATTCAAACTCTTGAGAGTCCAAGGAAAGATATATCTAACAAAAAAGATAAACAAACAAACAAAAACATCAAACATAAACCTAGTATTTTCCAAACTAACCACCTCTTGTGCTCTATGAACAACGTAATTCATTCAAAACCCATAAGTCATAAGGCATACCACATTAACGATTAAGGATAAAAGCTTAAGACCAAGAAATTTGAAACCAATTTTAATAGGAAAAATTATACCTTGGAGAACCTGGTTGAAGTGGGTTGGTCACTGAGGTGAGGGTAGCCGATGACAGAGAACGAGCAGGGGAGAAGGGCAGAGGGAATCAATCAACCCTTTTTTTTTTGGGCGAAATGATATTGGCATTCCAAAAATTTTATTCTAACTAGAAAGTTTGGAGTGTAGAATGAGATTTTTGGAATGCTAATAACAATTCTTTTTTTTTTTTCGAAGAAACAATATTATCTACACGGGTGGAAGGGTGGACTAAAGTTCAAAATAAACTAGCAATAATCTGATTCAAATTCGTCTTTAATAAAAATCAATCGTAAACTCTTTCACTAGATGATAGTATTAAGTGGCCAATCAACCCATTTTAATTTAAGGGATTTTTTTTTTTTTTTTTTTAAACCTATAAATTTCTATCTAGGAATCTGGAATCTGGATTGTACCCTGAAGGCAAGAAGCGCGGGAATTGGAATGACATCTTAAATTTTGAAATTAGCATACTTATTATACTTTAAGTTCGAATTGTGACCGATGTTCCATATTCATCATATAACGCAAAAATTATTCATAATGTTACTAATAGGCAAATGTGAGTGAGAAATTTGCTAGAGACCAAAATGAAAGGGGAGTAATGTATTGCACTTTTTATTTTTGTAATTGTATCAGACAATGAACGCAAATAAAGAGGAGAAAAAGATTGGTATTCACTTTCTACTTTTGATCTTGTGATGTATAAGTTACAAATGCATCTCTATATATAGAGGTTTTCATCCGGCACCTTTTTAAATGTATGAAGAAAATGTACATTCCAAAATAGTGAAAACCAAACTTTTACTACTAAGCTACAATGTTGACTTTTCATTCTTTCATCTTTAGTCAAATTATGTGTGCATTCACACAGTTTTACGATATATAAGTTTTAAACACAAATTAATCATTAGGTATTGTCATAAGTGAATGTGGAGAAAATTTTCAATCTACTTAGAACACGAGTCGGTACAATACTTGTTATAATACAAGTTGAGAAACACTGAATCTCTCCAATTATATTATGACATTTGATGTAACAACTCATGTTCCTAGTATATAAAAAAAGAACCGAGCTTGGCTGCTTAAAAATCAGCAGCAGCTCCTATTGCTAGTGAATCACGGGTGGACACATGTCCAAATAATTGATTTTATAATCACAATTTAGACAGATGTCCACCAATGATTCGCTAGTAGTAGCTAATTTTTTTTAGCAGCGAAGCTTTCTCCATAAAAAAATATATCCCCACTTGAGGTTCATTACGCGTAATACCAAGAGTATTAAGCCTAGGTTTTAGGTCATTTCCAATAAAAAGCTAAAACCCAAAATTAACCTTTTTTTTAGTGATCACACTCCAATGTCTTGTCTTCCTACCCACCTTTTAATGATTTTTTTATTACAAATTTGTCCATTTGCAAAAAGATTGATAAGGACATTAATTATCTTGCTTTGCTTAATTTAAAAAAAAAAAAATTGGGCGTGGGAGACTATTTGTCTACCTTAAATTCTAACTCATATTTTCATCTCCTTTCATTTAGAGAAAATAAAAAAAATATCAATGGACTTAGAAGATGACTTTTTCATTGAACAGGTGGAAGATGACACTTCTACGGAAGAGGTAGAAGATTATGTTTCCATTGAAAATGTAGAAGAATAATTTATGTGTAGACCATTTGAATTTGTCCATCGTATTTTTAGGTTGTCAAATTCATTTGAATTTGGATACCTTTGTCATTTCCATTTGAATTTGTAGACATTAGTGCGTTTCATTTACATATTATTTGTTATATTTTTTAAGAGACAATTTTATAATTTCATATGTATGTATATATTAAAGGTTATTTTGAGAATAATAGTGGGTGGGAAAATAACATTTTAATTTTTTAAGATGAGTAGAATTATAACGTGGATGAGAAAATAAGACAATAAAGTGGATTTAGTAGCTTTTTTTTTTCTTTCTCAAAATTCAATTCCAATGAAGGGCAAAAAAATCTACACAAACAAAATTCCGGCCCCATGAAGTGAAAAAGCTGTGTGGAACAGCATATGGCAGCAATCATGTGGTGCGGTTTACATGTTTTATCATGCACTCGTGGCCTTTTGTCCACAAGATGACGTTGCTGTTTAAATCCAAAGGCCAAGATTTTTTTCTACTTTGAAAACGTAAAAACAGATTTTTAAACCAAAAATTATTTTGCTATAGTTCTCAATTTTACACCTGTCATATTCGAAATATTTATCTCTAAAGATAGATATTTTTGATATACTTTTTCTTTATAAAAAAAATATGTTCCAAAAATTATATTTAAATAGGTATAAATAGTAATTTAAACAACAAAATAATAGTTGATGTGTTAGTTTTGTATCATAATATTTATGCTAAAAAGCAATAAAATATTAAGAAGAACAAAATGTAATCCCAAAACCATTGAAGATGAAAAATTATAGCTTTGCACTATTCCTTAAAGTATGGGCAAACCATTAAAGATGGCCTTAGGGGACAATATCGTTGCATGACCACTTTAGTAGTGGAGCTTAAGAATCTTGTGACACAACACTAAAAACAAATCCGTAAATTTGACTTTTGCATCTCAAATTTGCACATTTTAATTGTACGCTCTCATTAAGTCAAGTCAATACATTCCCACTTAAACAGTATAAATTTTGGTTTTATTGGCACCTATTGTCTCAGCTTGTAATTTGCATATTAACGTACATTTTTTGTATCGTAATTAAGATGAAATGACATACGAATTGAAAAGTGACAAAAAACAAAAAAGTGAAAACATGCAAATAATAGAGTCAAACACGAAACATATATATCCCCATGTTTTGTTGAAGTGAATTTCTTGTCTTTTGAGTTGAAAAAAACTTGGTACTCAATAGTTTAGATGAATGAGGGTGTACATACAACTCATCGGTTGCCAATATTCTACACGTTGTAGCTTCTTCTTACAAGGTAAGGAAGCTCAAGAAGGATAAGAACGGTAAACCACTACCGTACCAGTACTCCATGTTCCCCCAAACCTTCATAGTCTCAGACTCTCAGGCGCCGCGTAACTATAAGGCCAGACAACATGCATATGAAAGTTAACTATAAAATGACCTTCTCCATATGTGAAAGGTTAAAACCAAAAGGAAAAATCTGCACTCAACTTCCTAGTTCTCTCTAGGCTTAAACAAACATCAAAACTAAATCATTCGAATTTCGAAAAACTTCACACCCAACAAGCAGGTAACAAGTGAACAGGTAGAATAAAGGCCTCAGCAATTCTAGCATACATTCACCAATATCACACACGGACTCAAGCGGATTAGAATGCATTAGGGATCTAACTGGATTTCTAAACACTAACACAGTGGATACGATTACCACCACTCTCTCCATTGTATTCCCAACAGTGCTTGATACCAGTAATAATATATTGAGAGGAACAGAATATAATCCCTGCACCATTGAAGATGAAAAATTATAGTTTTGCGGTATTTCTTAAAATATAGCCAAACCCTTGGAGATGGCCTTAGGGGACAATATTGTTGCATGATCACTTTAGTAGTGGAACTTATGAAGCTTGTGACACAACATTAAAAATAAGTCCGTAAATTGGACTTTTACATCTCAAATTTGCACCTCATCATTGTACGTTCTTACCAAGTCAAGTCAATACATTCCCACTTAAACAGTAGAAATTTTGGTTTTATTAGCACCTATTGTCTCAGCTTGTAATTTGCATGTTAGTGTACATTTTTTTGTAGCGTGATTGAGACGAAATGACATACGAATTTACAAAGTGATGAAAACAAAAAATTGAAAATATACAAATAATAGAGCAACACATTTTGATTTGGTTTTTTTTTTTGGGTCAACATTTTGATTTGGTTTATTCAATAACCAGATGTGTGTATGTGAGAGAGAGAGATGGAATAGTGGGGAGCCATTCATCACCAGTCAGACATGAATTGAGTTTGTAGACGAAACATGTGTATCCCCATTTTTTGTTCAAGTGAATTTCTTGTGTTTGGCAGCAATAAGACCCCACTGCTGGTTTTTATTTAGTTTTGTCGTCCCTACAGTACCACAATACAGTACCGGCACCATGCTCGTGCCGCGCAGTTTTGACATCTCTACTTCAATGGGAGCCAATTTCCATATCTCAGTCGTTGCTTGGTGGCTCAAAAACAGTTTTTGAGTTAAAAGAAACTTTGGTACTTTATTTGAGTGAGATATCTCGATCTATCTGGTGTATCTTTTGGTAGCCAAATTCTCAACTAGGTTGGAAACCTTACACGTTTGCAATATCTTGATCTCAACATGAACAACTGACCAATGCTATTAATCGAGGCCTTTTGATTGTTGACCATTTAGGTTTTATGAGATTACTTTGGTAAAAGTTGCTGGTTTCTCCCCCTCTGGTGTGACGAATGAGTGCTTCGTACATAAACAATCGCATCCTGGCAATCGACGAATTATACTTGGGAAGGTTAACGTAAGCATAATTGGCGAATATTTTCGACTTTCAGCAAATCCTTCTACAATATTTTGAATGCAAGTTAGCAGTATCAATCTACCTCTACAAAGATGAGCAGTGGAACGTAACAAAATAGTGCGGTCGTTGCATTGCATATGACAGAAAAATGGACAAACAAGTTTAAACGTTGCAACTGAAAATAATGAAGCAGCGCTTACGGTCTCAGAACTAGATGCAAAAGAAAAAGAAGAGAAGTAAAGTTCATCGAGCATGCAAATGACAAACAGAGGTTAACACGACAGAAACTCGATAACATGTGAATTTGGTCCACTCAATGTGAAAGATGAATTTGGGGCTCCATATCTTCCTTGGAATTTTGGGTTCATTTATAGCCATCCTTGTTTCTTTGCATTGCTTAAAATTTTACTAAAGCGTAGGTTTTCATCATGTCACTATAAACTACTATCTTACAAGTAAACCATGTTCCCCAAACCTTCATAGTCTCAGGTGCCGCGTAACTATAAAGCCAGACAACATGCATCTGAAACTTAACTATAAAATGACCTTCTCCATATGCGTAAGCTTAACCAAAAGGCAAAGCTCTGCAATGAACTTCCTAGGTCTCTCTAGGCTCAAATAAACACCAAAACTAAATCATTCGACTTTCGAACAAAAACTTCACGCCCAACAAGCAGGTAACAAGTAAGCAGGTAGAATAAAGGCCTCATCAATCCTAGCATACATTCACCAATAACACACACGGAAGCAAGTATGAAATCAAAGGGAAGGAATGATGATATCAAAACCTGAGCCATTATTAAAACTTGATAGCTGTATAATAAACCAAAGCAAAATCACAAATTTTACTAGACCAAGTAAATTGTATTCAATCCTTCTTTTCACCTCCCTTTTTCTTTTTAGCTGTTGCCTGCGAATACAAGAAAGTCCCAAATATTGCAACGGCGGAGCCAAGTGCATTAAGAGGTCTAACTGGATTTCTGAACACTAACACAGTCGATACGATTACCACCACCCTCTTCATGGTGTTTCCAACTGAAAAGGTCAAGGGACTAATTTCGTCAAGTGCTTGATACGACGATTGGTTATAGAGATGGTAAAACACTCCGGATAACAACACCCATATGTACAATGTGGATGGTTTTCCCACAGCTGCAAGAGCATTGTGATATCCTTGAACCCATTGAGACCCTTCAACGAAAATAGCGGCGGGAAACAGATAGAAGAACGAAATTATACTGATCCAACCATACAAATTCAACCCATCTACTTCCTTGAAGTTCTGTAAACTACGTTTCGAGTAAATGTTCCTCAACACAAACCCGACATTGCTAATCAAAGCACCCCAAAGGCCTTGCACATTGAATGACACCTCAGTGATAGCAGCTAGAGCACAACCCATTACAATAGGGAGAATTGAGAGCCAGACCTGTAACGGGTACGAATCTCCTAGGAACGACGAAAACACTACTGAGAAAACGGGCTCCGAGGATTTGATTACATGGGTGAAAGAAACAGCCACCTTAGAGAAGGAGACACATGCTGAAATGTGGCCTACAGTGTGGAACAATGCAGGTCCAAGGAGTGCAACGATGAAAGGTTTTGAAATTTTCGGGCGGGGTTGGAGCTTCAAAGACCAGAGAATGAACATCCAGACAGACCCAGCAAAGAGCTGAAAAGATGCGAGAAGCCATGGAAATGGAAAGACATTCAGTACCTTCTTGTTGTAGATGTTGAAGACAATGTTTTGGAAGTACCAGAGCCCAAAAATAAGCGCGAGCCGGACGGTGGTGGCCTTGGGCTTTGATACTGCGGCTTCCTTTTCTCCTCCTGGATTTGATTCAGAAGCAGCTTTGGGGATTTGGGATTTGGGTTTTGTTCCAAACCCAGATGGGAATCCACAGGTTTTGCTCAAATGGCTGATCTTTGAGCTCAAATCTCGAATCTGGCACATGGGTTTTGTTTCTTTTGAAGAAATTCCAAATGGGTAGCCATGGATTCTGGTAAAGCTTGAGAATTTGGAGGATATTTGGGGTTTCAAAGAGGTGGGTTCTTGGGGCAGAGGATATGAGTGCGTTTGGATTCTGGTGAGAAGTGATGAGGAAGGGGAGGAGGAGGCATTAATAGGGGGGAGTTGATGGCGGGATTTGGAGAAAGTGACAGGGGAAGAAGGACAACTGAGATTCAAGGTAAGCATTTGGTGTTGTGGCAATTGGTTGTGGTTGTGCCGTTGTGGAGAGAGAGAGAGAGAGAGAGAGAGAGAAGGACAGAGACTCTGCAAGTACATATAAATACGCAGGGTTTGGAGATTTGAGGACACGAGATTTTTCTAATTCTCTGGTTGGAGATTTTGTAATTCCTTTTCAGTTTGGAATATGCGTAAGATATTTTGTTGAGGCAAAAGGCAATTTACTAGAAGAGGCTTCGGTAAGAGGCGGCGTTTGACTCTTGACCGACCAATGGAATCAAAATGTCAAATAATTATAACAAAAAATTGATAAAAAGTACGAGTATACTCTTAATTACTAATATCCTCCTCTTTTGCTCTTATCTGTCTAGGAAGTAGCAGTGCTAGCTTCAGTTTTTCCAATTTCATCTGTGTTTCACTTCCCATCATACTTGCCATACAATTCATGTACTATTTGACCAATATTAAACACTAATGCAGGAATACATTTCCTCCCCTGAAATGGGGTTCTGAGTCTCGCGTTTTCTAATACAACTTGCCAGAATCATGTCTTGTATATTCTTCAATTTGTAAGAAAACTTGCCAGCTCCATACCTTTTACATTCTTGGTCCATAAAATGAACAAATTAATTAACCTGCAATTCATACAATTAAATAAAATAAGAACAACAAACCCATTTATTTTTTTCTTAGAGCAATTCCACCCCTAAAGACTTTGCGACATCACCCAGCGCATTTATCCACTCAAGTGAACAGTAATAGACCCCAGTGAACAGTAATAGACCAAAACATCTTCATCCCTAAAACTAAATAACCTAATCAATTTTATTAAAATATTATTAATTTTTATTATAAAATAATAAAAATTAATAATTTGATTTTTACTTTCTGAGTTTCTCCCAAAAAATGCACCTTAGACTAGAGCATGCCGACCCACCCCCCATCTCCACCCTCCATCAAATCCCCACCTCCCCTTCACTCTCCGCTTCCTCTCCATCGTCCTCCGCAGTATGACCCGTCCCATACTGGTCGACATCAGCGCCCGGGCTCGCCAGCTCCAAACCCGCCACCTCTAGACCTACGCCCTGACCTTCAGCTGCATCGTCGAATTTGTATGTCATTGTCCTCAACAGCTTCCAAGACCAGCTCGTCCTTAACAGCAAGTTCCGGGTCGACGGCCTCGTCCTCGAAGGTTGCGTCGTCCAGCCGTTTTCCTCACCAGAGATGAAGTTCGTCGTCACCGATTTTAGATCATGACGTCATGTAGGCCGGTCCCAAGGCCTGTCAATTTTGGGCTGGCTTGGAGACCAGCTTAGGCTGGGTGCCAAACAATCTCGTGGGCTGGAGAGACTTCCCTAGGTGCTAGGCCATTTTTTTGGCTGTGTACCGGCCTATCCTACCCCCGGTGGAAGTGCTCTTAGAAAAACACCGAATTAGCTTTAGATGTAATCATATTTGTTTTGAAAAAAAAAATCATTAAAAACAAAATTAAAGAGACATTCAAGAAACCTAGCACATAAGGTCGGTTCCAAAGAGTGGGCATTTAAGATAGATGTACTCTGGTGTTTCACTGCTACCTAAGAAACTAAACAACAAATTTAATATCAACACAAAAACCAGCAATTCTGCGTTTGACATAATAATCACTTGGTTCAATTGCATTTGAGTAAAGAGAAGTGTGGTTGTAGTGTTTCAACAATTGGAATAGAGATGAAGAGTAAAGAAACAAACACCCGAGGTAGGAGAAGAAGAGAGACTTTTGACATAAGAGTAATTAAGTCTTTTTAGCTTCAATTTTGGTTAGTTTTATAAGAATTGAAAAATATAGACCATATTTCATTAAATGGTTTTCAAAATGGTTATATTCCCAAATTTTCCCTCTTTTTTTCACTTTCCTTTTCTTATTTGCATTCCTCATTCATCAACTGTCATATGTACTCTACTATCAGTTTTAAACACAATATTTAATGTGTTGTAAAACTAATTATTTAGTTTCCACATATGGCCTTAGACCTGACCATTTCTTACACAACCCCTTAACACGACACATAAACGACACAAAAATAATGGGTTTCGGGTCAATACGATAACTAATCAGATTGTTATTGGATCACAAAATAAGAACCCATTAATAACAGGTCCTTAAGAGGTTTACACGAGTGACACACAGGTAACATGTTTCGACACGTTAAGAGAAAATTTATTGTGATGATTTTAATTTTTTAAACTACTAAAAAAAACTTACTATAAAATACAAGAGCCATATTGTATATTAAATTGTATTATTGTATTATCTATCTATATATATAAAGTGAGCACCCTAAAATGGTGAAACATTCAAAATACCATACATTGCCCTTTAGAATTTCATAAATTACAATTGAACCAAAAGAAGCTAAAGTATTTAACCATATTTTTATTTTGAATGAATTTAATATTTAAAAATATAAAAAATATATAAAAAAACCTCCCACGTTAGTGGGTGGTTTCACGTCTTTAATTCATTTCTTTTTTTTTAAATAATTTTTTAAAAATATGTAAATTAATTATTTAAATAAAAAAAATTTAAAAGGTCAATTGCCACACGCATATGCGTGTGGCAAGAGGTTAGTTCTATATAAATTTAAAAGATTTAAGTTTTATTTATTTAATTTTATAGTATACTATAGGTAAAGAGTGGGATTAAAAAACTATAAAGCACACGAAAATTAAAAATATCAAGTAATTAAAAAATATCAAACACATTGAAAAAATTATACTAATTAATTTACGAGTGTGAAAAATGTGAAGAAAATATGCAAATGCTCATGATGCATCCTCTACGTTTTGATGATGTGTACATCATCATTTGAATTTTTAAAACCATACAAACCCTCATGAATAGTATTTTTAAAGGATTTCAAAATAAATAAAATTTGTAATCATTGATGTACAAGTTTGAAAAATGTGAAAGCATATAAAAACGATCGTGGTTGGATCTTTTACGCTTAGACGATGATTACATGGTTGTTTAGATTTTTGAAACTCTCCAAATCTCATGAATAGTATATTTTATTTGAGTGCTAAATTTAATAATAATTATTATAGGATTGTGAAAAATGTAAAAAAAAAATACACAATCACTCGTAATGACAAGCTTTACAACTTTTGTGAATGGGTCAACTTCGAAATCCGACACCATAATCCATAAACCTCATATTTAAATTTAATTGTCAATTATCGTTTAAACTTTATTCTTTTTTAGATTTTCATTATTTATTGATTTAAAATATATTTTCTTTAACGGGTAACGGGTCAGTCATATTACCTGATAATATTAATTGGTCAATTTCGGGTAAGGTCATATTTGCCGTTTACTTTAATAGGTGTTACGGGACACGATCAGTTAAGCTATCGGGTATATCACGAAAACGACACAAACACGAAAAACACAACACAAATGCCAGGTTTATATGGCCTCATTAATTTACCATATAAGACCTAACAACGATTTGAAATCAAGATTAAAATTATGTGCGCCACCCCACCTCCACGTCAACTCCACTAAGCTCTAATTTAAACACAATATTTAAATGTTCAATTGCAGCCACTTAGGTCATCTCCAACCGAAGAAGGGTCAGAGAGCTCGTTTTAGCCCTCTGGCCCTCCAAGAAATTAATATTTTAATGAACAATGCAGAACCATATTTCTTACCATCTCCAACCAAGGGCCAAAGGGCCAAAAATAATTTATTATTTTAATTGAATTGCTATGGTTACTTAAATTAAATTACCTCAATAATTTTATGTTATGGATTGTCAATAATTTTCATGTTGTTAAATGTTTTTTAAAATGTTGTTTAAGTTTCATGTTAACATTTTTTTTTGTTTAACGTTACTTAATGTTATTTAATGTTGTTTAATATTGTTTAATGTTGTTTCATGTTACTTCATGTTATTTAATTACTTAAGGAAGTTATAGGAAAAAAAATAGAAATTTTAAATTAAAAAAAATTGAAAAAATAAATAAAATATGATGTCAGCATATGGCCCACCCCGAGGTTGGCTGGATGGCTTGGTTGGGCCAGTCGGTTGGTCCTTTGGCCTTTTTTTCTAGTGGGGCCCACGAGCCCACTAGAAAAATAGTTGAGTTTTGAATCACTCAATTTCCATTTTTGAATCACTCGATTTCGTTGAGTTTGACAAAGTTATGGCCGTTTAAAGTTGGTGTAGTTTTCTAGTTGAATCCGACCTTCTCCTTCCTTTGAATTCTGCAACCCAAAAATCCCAAGGCCTTTGGACCTTTCCTGCCGAGCCCAACCGAAAACCCATTTGAAAACGGTACTTTGTATCCCTCGAAGAGACAAAGAGAATGGTACCTCGCACGATGTCTAACTCGTCATGGTTTGGCCGGAAAACGCCTCGAAAGCCGTCGGACTCGCCGGAAACTGAGTAAGATTCAAATGAGTATAACTTCTTCAATACTCAACAAAATTGGTTGAAACAAAAAGGAAAGTTGTAGTACTCAGCGAGGCGAATAGATTGATACTTCGTACGCCGGCTAACTCACCATAGTTTGACCGGAAATTGCCTTGAAAGTGGTGGTGCTCGCCAAAAAATTTGGAAAAGCTTTCCCAAGCTATTTTCTGTGATTCAAACGTATACATAACTTAAAACAAGCTTCAATCGAACCCTAAAACACATCCCAAGGGTTTTTAGAAGCTTACCAACGTTGAAAAATCCAGAAACTCATCGGGGAAGACGATGAACAGTACCGACCGAATGGAAGAGAGGGGTTTGGGGTATCCTTTCTTCGATTCTAAGCTCACTGGGGTGTTAATGGAGATGTTGATGTTTTTGTGGTGATGTTTGTTGGTAAGAAAATCCTTTGGAGGGGCTGAGATAGAGAGAGCCGAGAGAGTGTAAGGGAGAGTGAGGGAGAAGAGAGAAAGAGAGACTTTTCAGAAGAAAGAAGAAAGAAAAAAAAAATAAAAGAAAGGGAAAGGGAACGGGGGACAAAATAGGGGGTGGGCCCTTTGGGCACACCATTTAAGACCCAAAAACAATTTTAAAAACAAGATAATCTCAAACTTAGTGAAAATATAATTTAAATTAGGGGTGGGTGTAACAATCAACAATAAGGTTCAGAAGTGAAGCAGTGGAAATATGTGTTGAGACGAACACATATCGTTG